AGGAGGCCGTGCGTGCGTGCGTTGACATTATGTGCGGTGGGTGGCGCGTGTGTGCGTGGCGTGCGTGCGAGTAGCGTGGGCCGGCTGCAGTGCGTACGTCGGTGCGTGCGTGGTGCGGTCGAAGCGGCCTCCGTGCGGGCGTGCATACGTCCGTGCGCGTGGCGTGCGGTCACGATACTCCGTGACCGTGATACGGTCCGATTCGTGCGTGACATTACGAGGGGTACCGAGGAGGGTTTTCTGGGTGGGTCGTGATCATATTTTTTGGACCTTTTCACAATGACAATAGCCAGCCAAGATGTGATTACAATGTCAATACCAATCCAGAGGGGCGTGGTACAGGATTTGTAACCAGGAGGTGGTTAACGTACGCGGCGGGAGAGGGGAGGCTGGGGTGAGCACCGCGAAGGGGGTGTCTGGCGCTGGGCCCTTGCCCCATAAACGATTTTGAAATTAGACCTCCTTAGATGCGTTTTTCCTGCGGCGGGAGCAGGGGGGTTCCGCGACCGCCGCGACGCGCGCGGGCCCGATGTACACGCACCGGACAATTTAATTAAAACAAACAAATTTTGTTTCAAAAAAAAAATTTATCAGTTAAAAAAAAAATCTTCTGACTTCAGTTGAAAACAGAGTTTTTTGAACTTTTTGTCTTTAGTCTTGTTTTGTTCTTGATATCTTGTCTTGGCTTGGTCTTTATGTCAGTCTTGTCTCTCTTTATGTGAAAGCAAAAATTTTGTTTGAAAAAAAGGCTCAGGTTCAGAATGCTGGAATTGCGGATAGATTTTACGTCACGCAATTGGCAATGTCTTTTGGACTCATTGCTGGTACCTGATCTTTTTCATTTATGTCATGGTAAAAAAGCCTCCGAAAAAAATGGGTGGCTTGGAAAAAATGTGGACCTTTTGAAGGATGGTGTGGGGGGGTTCGTACGACCTCACGACCGGCGTCCCCGTGGCAGGGAGCACGATGACGGCCCGTCCGTTACGGGCATACGACTGCGCGTGGCGTGCATACGTCCGGGGATGCCGTGGCGTGGATACGTCCGTGTCGTGCGGGGCGTGGCGCTGTGGTACGCCGGCGGCGGTGCCTGCGTGGGTAGTTACGTGCGTTCTGCGTTGGTACGTACGGGGTGCTGTGTCGGCGAACGTGCGTGCGTACGTACCGTGCGTTTGCTGGTGGTGCTGACGTGACATGGCGTGCGTACGAAATTGCGGCGTGTCCGTGGCGTTACTCGGGCGGTGAATGCGGTGCGTGTGTGGCGTGCGTGCGTACGGGTGAATGCGCGTGGCGTAAGTGCCTTACGGCGAAGTGGTTCGTGGCGTAGACTAGCGTTACGTGAATGCGTGCGTGCGATGAACTGCTTTACTTGAATGCGGCGTGGCGTGGTTTAAGGAATCTGGGTATACGATTATAGCCTAAATTCAGATCGGCTGCATGATTTATCAGGCAATGGAAGTGTAAACATGCACATTCCCAGTGTCTGCTTTTCCCATACTTCTGGATAGGATTCTATCTGGCAAGTTGTAATTGGCACTCTAGGGAAGTGAAGTGAGCGAAAGAGGAAGAAAGTGCGAGCACCATTTCACATGCTACTGTATTTTATGTGACCCAAACCAAGGCTATGCGCATGCGTATATTCGATAAATTTTATTAGCCGGCGCGCTGACCATGGATTGCGTACACACGACACACGACACACACACACACAGCAGGCACAGCACGAGACGACAGAAAGGCGACGACAACACACACACACAACACACGCCACTCACTCTCTCTCTTCTCTCTCAGACACTCACTCACAAACACACACACCACACCACACACACACACACACACACAACACACACACACACACACACACACAGCACACACACACACACACACACACACACACACACACACACACGTGCGCGCGCGGTGCGCAGGCACACAATTTAGCGTGGGCTAACTTAGTACGGGATAACTTAGCACCACATTCGAAGTGTGCCTGCGGCCGCCCTCCATTCGTTGGGCTAACTTAGCCGCACTAGCGCGTGTTTAGCCTGGGATAGGCGTGCACGCACTGCAAAAATTGCCGCGCGGTCGAAAAACCTCGTTACATAGGCCGGGTTGTTTACACGTAGAATACAGATGTCATGCAGTGCGCAGCGTTCGCGCTGTTTCACGTCAAATGGGATGGTAACCTTATAAGTTCTCACAATTTCTCAAGGTGCACAGAACATATGTTACCAATTTCGTGGTTTCAATTTGTCATGGATATGTCGCAGTAAGTACTACCAATAGCTGTTTTACATACATTCCCCCATTTCACACCAGGGGCCCGCGGAAGGCAAATAGACATTGGTCAGGCCATTTAGCATCAATAACAGATGTCGACGAACAGCTGGCGAAGGCGCAGGTGCCCACGGCGCAGCCGTGGCGGGGAAGCTCTAGTTTCCCCCTCGTCTAGTTTCCCCTCAAGTTTCCCCCTCGTCAAAGGAGGGTTTGGGTTTTAAAATTTAAGACACCAAGATGCCTTTTTAGAGCTTAAAAATACTTTTCAAAACTTTAACAAATATATATTTATACTTCATTCAGTATAGGCCTAATTATTTCGGCATCTGCCTGCCGGCACATGTCAAATTTGTGTTCTTTAATGTATCTTCATGCTAACTGATAATTATTAACGAGAGTTAAAAAAACTTAAATATATGAACGAACTATATGAAACTGGACCAAATATTCGCTGTGCGGATGATCGTGAATTTTTTATAAACCTATCAACTGCTTTCTCCAAGTCCAAACTGTCCAATTTCTCTTTGTGCACGTTAATCAGCATCACGTTATTTAGAAGCAGTTGCGTCATTGTAGAGCGCAGATATGTTTTTTAAGTCGTCGCAATGTAGAAAACAATCGTTCGCTAACTCATCCAACTTGAGCTCAAATCGTACACAGTACATTCGCCTAGCATCGTGCGAAATCGTTTCCTCGTTTACACAAGCAATCCGGAGATACAGACTAAATCGTACGACACTATTATCCATTCTTTGGCCATCAATCCAAGCTCATTGCCCGCCTCTATTAAAACAAAAGGCAGCTACCTAACCACAGCTTGCTAACTCGGCGGGCAATGTGGCTCGCTGGGAGATTTGAGCCCGATCAGCTGCTGCTGATTGCGGTTGGCGTGCGTGCGTGAGGGTATGTGCAGAGGTGGCTGCTGTACGCCGGTATGCCTGTGTAGCTGTGTACCGGGTCAAAGGTTATCTCGCCGAGTGTTGATGCCTAATCTCCCAGTGAGCCACATGCCTCGCCGAGTTAGCAATAGCACGTTAGGTAGCTGCCTTTTGTTTGAATAGAGGCGGGGAATAGGCTTGGATTGATGGCCAAAGTATGGATAATCGTGTCATACGTTTTAGTCTGTATCTCCGGATTGCTTGTGTAAACGAGGAAACGATTTCGCACGATGCTAGACGAATGTACTGCGTACGATTTGAGCTCAAGTTGGATGAGTTACGCGTAGTAAATCGTAGGTATTTTATGGCTAGTAAATGACAAATTTCCCTTGTTTATTGATGTCACACTCCTTCCCTATTATCTACTCCTGACAGTATGTTACTATGTGCAGAAACAGCAAAAACAACAATTGATTGAGTAACATAGAAAATGGCAAATCCACACTTAGCGGTACCTGTTGAGTTCTGTTGTATTGTGTATCAACAATGCATTCATCATGATGATTACTATCCCCTACTCCTTCCCTATTATCTACTCCTGATACTGTCAAACCTTTATATTACGGTCATTTAATGGATTTATTTCGAACATAATTCCCAACCAGTCTCGTGTTTTTCCCACTTTTACGACAGTTACTGTTATTGCTTGAGCAACAGCAACGTTCTAGAGTAACGATAAAATGTCTTAGAACCTTTGTACTTAGTTGGCTATATTCTCCAAAACATGCACGATTCGAATTTTGATTACTCGTTTTGATTACCACTGCCATTTCTTGCGAATCCTGGACTATCTCACGATAGCGCGAGATATCAGCCAATTTCAAAATAGAAACGAAGTCAGCTACACAGAATCAGATGCCCTTTTGTTTGAATTAGGTGCAGATTAGGTGCACTTGTAACTTGTTGGATACTAAGGCGCCACTTGCAAACTTATTGTCTCTATAATCAAATATGCCATGGTGTTACTGCATGTTCAATTATAATTTTCTCTGCTATAACAGCATAAATTCTTAGTGTTTTTCAAGTTGCTGTAATCAGTAATATATCTGCTATAAGGTGAGACCATATTTTGCTATATTTTTTCGGATTGTGCATTTTGGAGCAATGATTTCGAAAATAAATCCTTTAAGAGCATGCTAAATATCAAGAGCAGATAAAGAAGGAGAGCGTACAACGGTAAAATGCTGAAACCATGCTGCAGTATTAGTCGAATTAATAAACTTTTCCCGTTTTATTCTGACGATCCTTTGCAGTATTATTGATTAGCTGTCTTACCTTGTTCATATAAAACAAACCGCATGTCCCTACGATGCCCCTACGCTGAGATAATGAGCGGTTTTCGCCGAAAACCGACTGGAGATCAGTCAGTTACTGCGTCTGCCTCTCGAAGTGTTTTCAGTGTGTTGCTTCCGGTCGCCGCTGTGTAGCGCCATAGTGGCGCTGACTCACGTAATACTACCAGAGTTTACTATACATCCAGCATGAGGTGGGCGTGAGGTGGGCACAGGTGGGGGTCATCACTATGGCAATCAATAACAGACGTCATTCATTCCATTTGTCAATCATTGACGGAAACACGCGAGGTTTTCCGAAGTAATAACACTTCGAGAGACAGACGCAGTAACTGACTGATCTCCAGTCGGTTTTCGGCGAAAATACCAGATTTTCACCGCTCATTATCTCAGCGTAGGGGCATTGTAGGGACATGCGGTTTGTTTTATATGAACAAGGTAAGACAGCTAATCAATAATACTGCAAAGGATCGTCAGAATAAAACGGGAAAAGTTTATTAATTCGACTAATACTGCAGCATGGTTTCAGCATTTTACCGTTGTACGCTCTCCTTCTTTATCTGCTCTTGTAAATATGTCCCTTGCAGACAGGTGTCCATTCAACCTTGGAGTAATAAACTTATTACTCCAAAATTCAACAGAATTGGATTCACTGTATAACTGTCACTCAAGGGAATGCTAAAGAGTTTTTTACAGACAAGTGTCTGTTCTATAGAGCTGACCATTAAAACAGGTTTGACAGTATTTCCAAAAGCTCGATACACAAATGCACACAGCTATGCACAACCGAAGTAGCCATGATGGATAACATCCAGTTCACATAAAACTGCACAGTTGCTGGTACTGCTCTGTAGCATTCACAACGAATTCAAAATCTTTTAATGGTAGTCCAGCTCCATGCTGCTAATCATCCAGCAGTAAAATCTAATGTCTCTCATCCTTACCAAACTCCATATCTCGGTTCATATACTGAAAGCAGCATCTGATATACTAATTTCAGCATGCAGAGGATGCCTTTAGCTTATAACGTCAGTGCCAAGTCATCACCACTACTTGGCTATCATGGATAAGCTGCAGGTGTGCACCACCGCGACTCTTTTCACGCTTATTCCAGTCATCAGTGTCATGATACGAACTATCACAACAGGTCCACTCGCCCGCCTAGATAGACTGGAATGGCCTTCAGTTCTGTCCGCATGCACAGGAACTCTCCCGTGACGGTCATGAGAATCAGGCAGACTAGGTTGAGCAACCACCAGGCCACGGTGTTCGGCATCTGGTAGTTGTAACACCAGCAGAGGAGAAAGTGCACCACGTGTACCGTTGTTGAATAGTCTAGACACTGTTTGGTTCTCTGCACTATATACCACAATCCTAAGGCACTGAAACAAAGTGGAGGATGTTACTAAACTATGTATGCTTTTACATGTGATACAAGATTGCTATTACTGTATAATAATAATCCAATTTTTTATTGTTTGAATTAGTTTTAATGGTTTATTTTGTTATTTTCAAGGGTATGCATATTAGCAGAATCTGGTACACATTTAAAGCAGGTAGTTACAAACAACCAATTAATAACAACTTCTAGATCCAATCATTATGACTGTAATTCAAGTGTTATACCAACCAGGTAGACGAGTTGAGTACGAAGGCAATCATCAGCAGTCTTCCATTCAATTCATTGTACCGTAGAATCTGATCATATAGGTAAAAAATTAATCAATATAATACCCCTTTTATACTGCGCATGACTTTAGCCCGCTTCTGAAGCGGGATAACTTTAGCTCAGGATAAATCGTTTTATACTGCGCACGACTTTAGCCCGCTTCTGAAGCGGGATAACTTTAGCTCGGGATAAGTCGTTTTATACTGCCATTCTCGACCACCCGAGTTGCGTGCGAGACCGGAGTAATTGTCATGGTCACTGAATTTAGAGCGAGCTAAAGTCGAGATACCTTTTATACTGACATTAGCTCGGGTCTGAAGCAGACCTGAACCACCTCCTAGAGCGGAATAACTTTAGCTCGGGCTAAGTATTTTTCGACCTTTTATCCTGGGGGTTATCCTGCTTCAGGTCCGGACCTGAAGCGGGATAACCCCCAGTATAAAAAGGGTATAATAGTTATATGACATAGCAAGTATGTTAGTACTGCATTAGGTGTTTAATTAACTACCAATTTATTAAACAACTTCTTAGACTATTTGGTAAACAAGTGCCGCAGAGCGACAGCGCTCAACTGACGTGTGCTGTAGCCGGGTATTCTTCTGATAAACTCACTGGCAACCAAATCAAGTGCGCCCTCCCGCCACCTCGTTTGCAATCAGAGCATATATCTAGGATACTACTAATACAGATCTAAAATCTATTATAGGCTTTGCTATACCGGTAGTACAATAATAAAGATACAGCTGTGTAACTTTAATGACTTCGCTATATTAACATGTTATCATGGATATGTGTCGAGTGCGAGCGTAGTGGTGGTGGTGGGAGAGGGTGGGGTAGGGTGGGGAGAGGTGGAGAGGGTATGAAAGGAGCTCTAATAGCAAAAGCAGTTCAGTCCTTTGTTAACAGTCTCACAAATCCATGTTTAACCCTCCTCTTGAGGGTCAAAAGGTTATCAGACACTTACTCTTCGCATGTCAGCGGAAAGTACATTTCATGGTCCTTTCAACAAAGTGATAAAAATGGTAGGCCAGCGCTGAAACAAAAAAGTTTTGCACTCGGTCCGTTAGACCATGTCCTCAGAAAATGTCCTCCAATTTCGTGCTGGTGATGGGTTTCCTCCCCATCACACTATATATCGAATATTAAGAGTGTAGGTCGAGCTGTTGAGATTTGTGCCGCAATTCCGTATTTCTTCCTATACCTTAAGTTAAGGGGGAAATGTTCCCCCTCCACTGACACCTCTTGACCTTTGACCCTTGACCGCCAAATGCGAAATGCTGAGTCCTTTTCGCGATCCCCCCCAACGTCCTGAATATCAAGACCGTACGTCGAGCGGTAAAGATTTGTGCCATAACTGTTGACGGACGGACAGACGGACGGACATTCATGCGATTCTACAAGATGCATCCGACTTTGTCAGCTGAGCTAAAAATGTGCATATATATATTAGTAAATTTCTTGAAAAATCTGAGCTGGTTAGTAGTCTGCATTTAAATTCTCCCACCCCATTATTACTCACAGTACACATGGTTTCATAATATAACACATAGACTTTAGTACAGCCTTTTAACACAAACTACAAAATACAAAGACATATACTTACCCGGTAGGAGAAAATTTGATCTAATGAGCTATTATTGTGTACAATCACATTCATCATAACTATCCAAATACTAAGACTTGTGTAGAATAAGCACTGCATAGCAATAATCTGGGATATAATACATATTGGATCCCACTTGTAGCTTCTGAACTGGCCAGCCATAATGCCTTGACAGCTAGACAGCTATTAGACTAGTAGTTGATAATCTTTTATGAAGTTTCAGCAGCACTTGACTGGATTAGTGATCAACCTGAATAAAATTAAAACAACATAGTCAGATTGTAACTAGCGATAATAACATTACGCTAAAATATAAATCTGTTTGAACAGTAATTAATATACACAAGTAGAAATAATGACAATCAGTTGTTTGCATTTGATGTCCTGATAAAATACTGATATTGATACTAGTCTGGACATTGTTATGTAAACTGGTACCCAAAACTTTCAAGACAGCCAACTTTTAGCAGGCACACACAAACACACACGTGTCTGCGTGCACACACGCGCACACACACGCGTACGCACACACGCACGCAGGCACGCACGCGTATATAACTTATAAGATATAGATATAGAGTAGATATAGTGAATACAGATTGTAACATTTCTTATTCGATTGTAAGTTTACTTTGTAAACTTTACCAACCCATGTAGTGAGCTTGCTCAGTATTGATTTCGTGTATTAATATGACTGTCACTGGGTGGTGCTACAGTAATACAGGTAACTGGAAGGTTCAGTTTAGTTTATCTGTTGTCCTCCCTGTCGTTTCTCACTGCTTTATTATATTTACTGGTTATCTAAAATATTGAAACATTGTGTCACTGTCAGAAGTCCATGACATTGTTTTCGATGCATGAACTGTGAATAAACTGAACAGAAATTACAGGAAGTCGTAGACTGATTGCTCTAGAAGCACAAGCACTTGGAACCTTTCAATAATAAAATGATCGTAAATATACATGAAATGTATTTACTATCAGTCTCAATGTTTATGTATGTTCTATCAACTAATAACCCCACATAAATGCTGTTCTGCATAAATGCCACCGGTATACCGGAACGTACCCTGGTCACTATTTGATATGGTTAGGGTTAGGATTAAGGTTAGGGTTAGGGTTAGAGTTAGGGTTAGGGAGTAGGCGTAGGCGACTCCCTAGACTCGTTAGTGAAGTAGGCGAGGTACGGTCCGGCATATTAGATAGTACCAGGGTACGTTCCGGTATACCGGACCGTACCCAGCGTACGTTCCGGCAGTACCCCGGGGGACATAGACCCTCTCAGCCCTATTACCATAATAACCCTAAGCTATTATAATGATATAATATTATAATATTAATTATTATATTTATATTCAATTGATGTAAATAACATTGGTTTTATTGGGACCCATGTTCTCTATCCTTGAACCAATAAAACAAGTTATTGATTCGATTCATTCGTCTTCATTAGTACAATACCCGTGCAAAAGGTTGAGAGTATCCTTTGAGAGTATTAATGTAACAACAACTGAAGTTACTGAACTTGAACTGTCAACATTATGAACATACGTCACAACCTAGGCTAGCCTATAGTACTTAGTAGGCGACCAGAACCATTATATATTATATATATCGCTATATATATGACCATACGTATTAGTAAATGATCGCAATTACACATTGATTCTATCATTTACTAAAAAGTACTAGTAGGCCTACCTGTTTTGTTTGTTAGATGATTCATTCCTTCTTGCCAAAACACCAGCCATATTGCAACAGCTGATCGCAGCGCCACGACTACCGACCGGCCAATATAGTAACCAGTAGTAACAAATAACCATAGCTCTCGCTAGACTGGTACTCCCTCCCACCTCGATTACTCGATGGTGGATTAATCGATTACTCGATTACCCCACTGATCTCTATAAATAACTTATTATAGTTACTTATACGTTATTTATAGAGATCAGTGGATTACCCCAATCCACAGAAATAGAATAGAAGTAGAACGCTCATACCCAGGCCGCGCGGTGGATATATGTTTCCATGAAGCCGGCTGATCGCGTGACGTCAGTGTACGTCACGCGCGAACTCGGCTAGAATGATATAAAAACCCTAACCCTAACCCTCACCCTAACCCTAACCCTAACCCTAACCTAGAGTCCCTATATACAGAGGTATATACAGAGTCTGTATATAGGGACTCTACCCTAACCCTAACCCTAACCCTAATTGAATTTAATTAACACTAATAAATTTAATTTATTTAAAAAAAAAATAATGTAATAAAAAATAGTAAATAAATCATGTAAATATTTGCGTTAATTGGGAAAAAATAGTTAAATGGATAAAGATAGAAAAATAAAAATAAATAAACAAATGAACAAATAGGATTCGAACCAAGGACCTCCAGAAGTAACGACAACGGCCGCCGGCGTACGCGCTCGGCTATTCCGCCTCATTGGAATAACGTATTATAGATGTTATGGATATTATATTATTATGATTTATATAATATTATTTATATAATATTATTATGATTTATATGATATAGATATTATGGATGTGCCATATATGCATACATGGATGTGCGTGCGTGATTGGTCTATGGTGGTGGATAGCCACTGACGTCACACTGACGTACACTGACATCACGCGATCAGCCGGCTTCATGGAAACATATATCCACCCAGGCGCGCAGCGTCCATAAATGGATATTTCTCTGTGATTACAACTCGGATTAATTTAATTTTACACTCGTTTTAATGGTAACATATTATGGTAAAGAAGCGCGTCAGGGATTGTTATTAAGTGCCGTACTTTATTAGTTATGCCTCTTTATTCGCTAAAATTTTCTATTTTAACACACAACTTGATTTTTAAGCAGTTTTTTCGAGTTTTCTCGGTAAATATAAAAATTTAAAAAAAATCCTGACGCGCTATTTTGGTTCATATTGTGCTTAACATGTGGCAAAAATGTTGTATCCTCACTCTTTCTGGTAGTTGAGAAATATCCAAAATACCATTTTTACATAAAAATTCAAAATTTGTGTGGTAACATAATTAGGTGCTGGAAATTTCATGAAATTTGTTGGCTTGAGCATAGGGATATATATCCTCTATAAATAAAACAAGTGATTGATTCGATTCATTCGCCAATAAACGTGCGTTAATTTAATCTTCACTAGAGCAATACCCGTGCACAACGTGGAGAGTATCCTTAACGAAGTGCTACATAAAATCTCGTCTTATTTTCTTGCCAATGTGGATAGTTAAGTGCAAATTTGATTTCAGTACCAGCATGTGCAACAATCCATTCAGTATAATTTTAAATATTATTTTTAAAGTAGGGCCTATTATTTTTACCTCTGTAGGAAAGCAGTGTTTAAAATCTATAGGAAAACGCATCCATGCATGTTTTTCTGTAATTAAAACTAACTGTCATTAACGCCGGGTACTTTGGCATTCACCTACTACTTTCTTATCATATTTTCTTTGCATTTGGTATTAAAATTTGACCGCACCAATAATGGCGACTGCACCAATAATGGCGCTGGTCACGTGACAGTTGTCAGAAACTGCCTCCCGGTAAGAGCTAAATGGGCACATTCCTTACGGCGGTTTTGGAGGAGATACGTCAAATTACGCGCGGCCGTTACAGTATTACTATATAGATACGTTCACCCATTTTGCACACAGGCGGTGACTCATTGTGAAAAATAGAAAAACCCTCGTTTTTCCGTTTCGATTTCTGACATAGTAGCCGATGGGTTTCCAACGTGGCGAAATGTTGCTTTAGTAACGTTGTTATGCAAAATAAAGCTTAGTGACATAGCTTATCGTCTTTTTCCCAAGATGTCGTTGTTCTGCCCTAGCAACGGCCGTGCGACCCTTGACGACCGGTCTGATCGATGCAACAATGATATTAAAAATTATTTAAAAATATTTATCCTGCTTGGATGATCCCTTCGCGAAATATTTCGGGAGTCAATGCAATTTTAACATGGACCATTTATGGAAATTAAAACTTCAACGGAATGACACACACCTAAAACTCACAGACAAGCCACAATTTGGAAATGCATGTCCAGCATGGCGTATGATAGCAATAATAGGTCAAAGAGAGTATATAAACATTAAGAATTTGGTAGTAAATAGATTTCGTATTTATTTAGCATTATATTTTATTGAAACGCTTCAAGTGCCTGTGGATATGCACGTATCATGTGACTGTACATTGAGATGTAACTGTAATTTGTAGACTGTAAACTGTGATATACGTAGGCTACGTGACCTGTAGGCCTGAGATGCACGTAGACGTCACTATAACCCCCGAACTGAGATGATGGCGCTATGTGACTTGTAGATTTGAGATGCGCCGTATTGTGACTGTAGATTGAGATGTGCGTATGTGACTGTAGGTTGGAGATGTTGCGTATGTGACTGTAGGTTGAGATGTGCGTAATGTGACTGTAGATTGCAGAATGTGTCGTATGTACTGTAGAGTTGAGGATGTGCGGTATCGTGACTGTCAGATTGAGATGTGGCGTATGTGACTGTAGGGTTGAGTGTGTGTAATGTGACTGTAGGTGAGATGTGTCGTAATGTGACTGTAGATTGAGCATTGACGATGTGCGTATTGTTGACTGTAAGCTTGAGATGTGGCGTCCATGTGACTCGTAGATTGAGATGTGGCGTATGCTGACTGTAGATTAGAGATGTGGCGTATGTGACTGTAGATTGAGATGTGGGTATGTTGACTGTAGGTTGAGATGTGTGTATCGGCCATGTGACTGTAGGTTTTTAAGATATGCGTATAGTGAACTGTAGAATTGGATGTGCGTATTTGACTGTTGGTTGAGATGTGCGAATGTGACTGTAGTATTGAGATGTGGGCCGTATGATGAGCTGCAAGAGCTGGTAGACCGAGATGTACGTACGTGACTAAAACTGAGTATGTACATGTAGCGTACGGCGTGTGACTGTAGACTGATATACGTATGTGGAATAGTGATGACAATACATTTTTATTGGCACGTTTATTGGTTCCTTATAATAGCTTCCTCAAACTAGCCTCGGTAGAAGTACCTCCATAAATGAGGAGGTTACTTTATTGGAGGTACTCTATGGCCTAGGCTAGCTTCTTTTTTCGGGTGTTCCGACAACATTAGGTTCTGCACTGCGCACGGCAAAACTGTGTAGGCCTACGGTTGCCGGTCTATTGTCTAGTCTCCTCATTTGACGCCCCT